GAGAGAGAGAGAGAGAGAGAGAGAGAGAGAGAGAGAGAGAGAGAGAGAGGGAGGGAGGGAGGGAGGGAGGGAGGGAGAGAGGGAGGGAGGGAGAGAGGGAGGGAGGGAGGGAGGGAGGGAGGGAGGGAGGGAGAGGGACAAAGGGGTAGGAGAGGAGGCGGATAGAGGAGGAGCTGAGGGGAGCTGAGGGGAGCTGAGGGATGGAAAGGGAATGCAAGGGCGACAAACTGTGTAGATTGGAGTAGACTGAGAGCTTGATAGGGAGCAGGGAGAGTCAGCGTGAGAGGAAAGGGACCAGGGGGTTGATAATATGGAGAGACAAACAGGGGAGCTTGAAAGAATGTCATGGGTAATGACAGAGAATGTCAGAAGGCATCTGGAGCCCTTGAGATACCTTGTCTGCTGACATAACAGCTTTTGTGATGGCGATGAGATGACATCGAAGGTTCAGGTTTACAAGTGACAGACCAGGCATCTGTACATGAAGGCAGGACAAGCCAAGTCTGATGACAGAGTCCTATGCTCTCGTTGTTACAAGTACAAGACAGCGAAAGAGTTCGAGACATCGAAAGTGGGAAGGAGAAACAGGATGTGCAAAACATGCTCAAGATTCTCGATACCAGAGAGATATGAAAGACTGGATGCGGATCTCTACATCGAGAGGCTGAAAGGGCAGAAAGGGAGCTTGTTGGAGCAGGAGGAGGAAGCCAAGGTGGAGGGTGGAGGGCAGCCATGAGCAAGCTGACTTTTCGTGCGTACAGTGGCAAGCTGCTGCTCCTGTCATCCCTGGTGCTGAGTATCTCGATACCATCCCGCATGCTCCATGGCCATCACGTGCCATGCTCAAGGTTCTCTGACCTCCTCTTCTCTTTCCGCTCATGTGTCGGTGCTCAGAGGCGAGTCGTGCTTGGGACGCCGGATATCATCGTCAGGACAGGCATCACCAAGATCGAGTATCCAGACGGGAGCGTCTACGAGGGAGAAGTGAACGAGAGAAAACGGTCTCCTCCTCCTCCACCCCTGTCAGCCTCGGGCGCTGACGTCCTGCAGCCATGGCAACGGAATCCTTACATGGCCGACGGGGGACACGTACCAGGGCATGTGGTACCAGGGACTTCCTCACGGCATGGGGGTACCTCACCGCCTCTTGTCGCTCGATCGCTGACCCCTGTCGCACCAAGGTTGCGGAGTACGCCTCCGGAGCAGCATACTCCGGTGAATGGAACCTCGGCGATCGGCACGGGAGTGGGATGTGAGTTGTGTTTCCGACCCCAGCAGGCTTTGAGCTGTTGCCTCAGGTACTTCTTCTGTGAGCACCCGGACGAGCCGCACAGAGAATATGCGGGCCAATGGCGGAACGACAAGTACCGTGAGCTGCTGCTGACCTGCTGGCATGCTCGTTGTGTTCAACGCTCTCCCAGATGGGATCGGGAAACGACTGTCCAAGAGCGGCACTGTGTACCTCGGATTCTGGCGCAAGGGAATGCGGCATGGCGACGGTATCTGCCGGATAGCAACAAGCACCATGCTCGATCCGTGGGTCTCACCTGCAGGAGCTGCTTGAAGCTGACTGAGGGGCCGCAGGGTCGCAGCGATCGCGAACGCAGTGCGCAGGTTCAGACACGTGGGAGAGACAGGACGATACGGGCAGATACGAGCAGATGAGAAACACGAGGTGGACATGCTTCAGATCATGGGCGGGATCGCGGATTGGCACAGCGAGACGTCAGGAGTGACGGTACAGGTGAGGGTTGGGCTGCTTGCGACTTGTCGCAGAGAGTGTTGGGTCTGAAGCAAGATCAAAACTGCAGGAAGGAAGGTTTACAAATGACGAGTTTAATCCAAGAGACCGCAAGGAGATCAGGAAGAAGATGGGGCTTGAAAGCAATCAGGATGAAGGTGATCCAACAGGGATCAGCCCAGCAGCGCTGAGTTCTTGCCAGGCGAAGCCAAGGAAGCAGATGCAGAGAAAGTGACGAAAAAGAAGAAAACTAAGATGGTTTGTTCTCCTTGAAGAAGCCCATCATGGGATTGACGCATTTGAAAGCTTTCCTCCAAAGCCTTCCCCCAGGATACCGTTGAAGTCGAACAGTTCGAGGACACAATCAAGTTCGCAATGACAACGTCCGATGCCGCCGAGTTGATCGGCAAACAGGTCAGCTGTGATGATGTTGACAAATCTCAAAATTTGTCTCTCCCACACAGGTCCGTGCTCGTTATCATGGGGCAAACTTCAACTTCAGAGTCACAAAACTCGAGCTCTGATCCTGACTCTACCGATCACTCGTTCATTCTTAGTTCACTTCTAAATGTACAGACAACCTTAGCAAATGGTTCATCAATCGATCGATCGTACCACCTCTCTCCACTTCACCATAACACTCTCCATCATGACATCGTCAGTGTCTCCTCGCTCCCAACATCCGGTGTCTTCATGTACCACTCGATCCACTCCCTCTCTAGCGGCTCCTCCTCCGGCTCCATGCCTTCTGAGCTCCACTGCGCGGTATCCTGCAACATGGATGGTGATGACGGGCTCGCGCCCTCCCCTGCATAGCAGATCGTCTCCATGTCCGACATGTCGTCTGAGTCTGCTCCAGCATGCGGCGAGCTCGCACTCGACAGATGATCCCCGCAAGCGTCTCCCTCCTGCCAGCCGGGGGTGGCCGGTACCTCCGTGCTCGCTCCAGCAGCATGATGCTGGTCCTGCATCGTGACGGGCGACTGCCGGTGACGTGAGTACGGCCAGCGCGTCACCCCCATCCTACGGCATGCGCACTTCATGGCGGTAAGGGAGATGCCCTGGGAGGAAAAGCGGGTGAGATTGGTTGCAAGGAGATAGAGCAAGGTAGAGGAGGCGCTTACCAGGAGCTTGGCAGCCTCTGACTGCCTGAGATGGAACATCCCTTGGACGTCGGTCAAGGTCAAGCTGACGCCCTGGCGCTTGGAGAGGGACTTCTGGCCTTGCTTCTTGCGGGGGAAGATCTCGACTCTGGGGAGGTCGGAGGGGAGGTCGAGGAGGGGGGAGGAGGGGGAGGAGGAAGACTGCTGCTGCATTGTCTTCGTCAGGATGAGCTTCGAAGGATGCAAGAAGGAGGAGGGAGATGCTTGTCGGTGGTTGTGGAGAGGGATAGTTGCGTTGTGTTCCCGTCCAGTTGCTTCATGGGATTCCATTTTTATCAACAAGTTTGCCTTTTACCACCCCACCCCCAATAATCTTCTTTTGTCCCTCATAGCACCCCTACCGAATCCCAAATCCATCCAGAAAACCGCCCAAGAATAGAATCACGTAAAAGGCGTGTAAAGTTTAAAAAAGCGCCGGAACCCACCCGGCCCAGCCGCCGAGACTCCCGTGAGAGCCCTTGGAGTTTCCTCCTGCCTTCGGTCCTCCGCCCGTCCCGTCACCTTCCGAGTTCCGCCAGGTCCGAGTCACAGCCCGGGCGGTAAAGGATCTGCCCATTTATAGAGCAACTGGGCCCGAGTTTTAACTTAACGTTGAGTAAAAGGTCCGGGTAGTAAACTGTCGACTTGGCAGTGGCCCCAAGTGACCTGAGTTACATCTCCGACGGTAACCCGGGCCCCGGGCCCCAGCTTGCTGGCCCCTGCCTGTCGACTTTCGGACAGTAGTAAAGACTGTAGTAAATACTCTCCACTACCCTACATACCCTTACCCCAACGGCTGCCGATCATGTGGGCGGTCCCACCGGGAGACACGATTAAAGCACCAACCCTCGGCAGGGGTGAAAGTGGGCTCCAAAGGAGGGGTGGTATTTCCCAAATGTTGACTCTCGGAGCAGCAATTTAACTTCCGTGAGGTGGGGGTCATTATTCCCCCAGTGGGAGGTCGAGGGTGGGGGTAGTCCAGGTAACCATCTTCAAGAGCGGAAGGGACAGCAAATCGTCATCCACACCCCCACCACACCACAGCATAGGCCGATCTCCTCCTCCACCTGAATCCATCAGATATTGTCCATACACCTCCTCCTCAACCACTCTCCTCCTCCTCCTCCTACATCTTTCTCCATGAGCGAGTCTGATATGCTTCAGTCTTCCTCCTCCCCCTCCTCCCCCCTCCTCGACCTCCCCTCCGACCTCCCCAGAGTCGAGATCTTCCCCCGCAAGAAGCAAGGCCAGAAGTCCCTCTCCAAGCGCCAGGGCGTCAGCTTGACCTTGACCGACGTCCAAGGGATGTTCCATCTCAGGCAGTCAGAGGCTGCCAAGCTCCTGGTAAGCGCCTCCTCTACCTTGCTCTATCTCCTTGCAACCAATCTCACCCGCTTTTCCTCCCAGGGCATCTCCCTTACCGCCATGAAGTGCGCATGCCGTAGGATGGGGGTGACGCGCTGGCCGTACTCACGTCACCGGCAGTCGCCCGTCACGATGCAGGACCAGCATCATGCTGCTGGAGCGAGCACGGAGATACCGGCTACCCCCGGCTGGCATGAGGGAGACACTTACCAGCACTCTGACAAGGATCTCTTTATGTCACCCAGCAATTCTCAGTCTGAACTGGTTGAGCATGAGATCGAGACCTCACGCCCTCGGCCCTGTAACAGTATGGAGCCGGAGGAGGAGCCGCTAGAGAGGGAGTGGATCGAGTGGTACATGAAGACACCGGAGGTTGGGAGCGAGGAGACACTGACGATGTCATGACAAGAGGAGGTTCTGCTATTCATGGCACTGGGGTTGGTGGATACAAGAAGCTCGATTTGAGTGAGATGGAAATGTTGGATCGTGCGGGGCTTGTTGGAAACTAGAAATACTCTCTGAACAGTAATGTACACAACTTAAACTTAAGAACATAGCGATGTAATTGCATCAAATTTAAACCCTTACGGTTAAAATGAATGCCATACAATATAAATGTTGGACACGATATGCTTTGCAGACCTGTGTTGCGGTTCACATCTTTGCATCATGCTCTTGGCGGAGTTCGGCATAGACATTTCACACCCCGAAGCTTTAAGGGGTGCAGACGTCTTGAGTAGAGATATGAAGTGATTTTGATAACACGAACACACTATCGGTTTGTGGCACACACAGGAAGGACAGACCACCTTAGCAGTCGTTGAAGATCCTTTTGTAGTCGAGGGGAACCACCAGGGATGGTAACGCTCCTCACGCAAGAGCGAGCATCCCTCGTGCGTCCGCTCAGATCTGATGCCTGCTCCTCGTCGAGGTTCATCCAATCGTACCAGTACAGGAGATACCACCCGTACTTTGCGCACTCTGTCGCCCAACAGGGGTTGTATTCTAGAGGTCCAGTAGCCGTTAGAGCCCTTGCTGCCCTCGTGCCTGTAAGAGAAGACCATAGCTTCTCTTGCTGCCCACTCCTGCTCAATAAGATTCTTTCCTGTGGAGGCTTCAGCCCGCCTTCGCAGAGCTCTGATACAACAGAATGACCGTATCCCTTCTAGAAACGAACATGCTCAAAGTATTCAGACCAGAATTTCTCAATGCTGTCATCCGCATTCAACAACATGGTAAGTGCAAGAGACTCAATTTCACTATACAACAAATGTTCATTTCCAGTTCGATAAAGAGAAGTCTACAGGTTCAGACAAAATTTACAAGAAGAACGAGCTTGGGTTTCAGTTGTAACTAGAATACACACTCTCTGTTAAGCTTTGGTCCCTTCACCAGAACTTACCAAGTCGTGACATGGTCAGTAGATTCTCACTGTTTACATCTGGTGTCTTCATGTACCACTCGATCCACTCCCTCTCTAGAGGATCCTCTGCCTCCTTGATGCTCCTTCCTTGAGCGCCTCTGGTCCCACTCTCATTTCCGATCTCCACAGGCTGTGCCATACTCGACGATGACAGGCTCGCGCCCTCCCCTGCATAGCAGATCGTCTCCATGTCCGACATGTCGTCTGAGTCTGCTCCAGCATGCGGCGAGCTCGCACTCGACAGATGATCCCCGTAAGCGTCTCCCTCCTGCCAGCCGGGGGTAGCCGGTACCTCCGTGCTCGCTCCAGCAGCATGATGCTGGTCCTGCATCGTGACGGGCGACTGCCGGTGACGTGAGTACGGCCAGCGCGTCACCCCAATTCTTCTGCATGCACTCTTCATGGCGGTAAGGGAGATGCCCTGGGAGGAAAAGCGGGTGAGATTGGTTGCAAGGAGATAGAGCAAGGTAGAGGAGGCGCTTACCAGGAGCTTGGCAGCCTCTGACTGCCTGAGATGGAACATCCCTTGGACGTCGGTCAAGGTCAAGCTGACGCCCTGGCGCTTGGAGAGGGACTTCTGGCCTTGCTTCTTGCGGGGGAAGATCTCGACTCTGGGGAGGTCGGAGGGGAGGTCGAGGAGGGGGGAGGGGGGGGAGGAGGAAGACTGCTGCTGCATGATGTTGCTCAAAAGGACAAGAAGGAGAGATGAAAAGGGGACAAGGGGAACTCGTGGATGGTGTAGCGCAAGGAGGTTCTTGGGCAGATAACTTCGCCTGTCCCCTTTATCTGTTCTTCCTCCACCCTGTTTCTGTTTTGATCCCCCACCCCTGCCACGTTGTATTTAACCCCTACCCCCTCTACATGGGAGTTTTTGTTCCGCAAACCACGACATCTGCTCACCACCCCCCAATTCGATCACACCCCCTCTTATACTTATTTCTACCCACCCTTTTGAGTGTCTTACATTACCCCTACCCCCACACTTTAGACTTTTCGGTTCCGATGCTGCCCGTCCATCACCCCGCTACACTACCCTCCTACTTTCTAAGGCATATAATGTACCCCTACCCCCATGTATGTCTACAATTCCCCTTCCCCTATCGCTCTACCACCCCTATCTGTAAACTTCTTAACAACTTGGAAGGACTCCAACTACCGCAACCACCCCCTCGATCCCAGGAAAGTACCCCTACCAAAAGTCCATAAAAGTACAACCCTTGCCTTGGCAACGTGTACAATGACCCCCCAAGGGGGGGGGTGGTTAGAGGGTAAAAATAATGTTAATTGAACTTCCGAAACTTCTGCTACCGCATTAGGACTTTTCCTATAAGATGACCCCTAACCTGCCCATAGGTGGTCTACCCTACCCCACCCTACTGTACCATTTCCCGAATGAACCCTTTGTTGTACGGAATATCAAAATATTTGTTGAAAAATTAATTTTGACTGCAAGGACCCTTCACCCCACCCCTGTATCAAGTTACAGCCCAGCCCCCTTCTGTAAATCTTCCCAGCCGCCCTCTAAGTGCTTCATTGCCTGCAAGGGGGTCATTAGGTATGAGCTTCTCAGATTCTATTATGCCAAATAGAAAATCTACTACCTTAGCATATGGCTCTTTGCCTCAAACCTGGACTCTTTTCACCACCGGTCGTCCGCTGAAAGTTGACCCTGCGAGTTCTCCCATCCACCCACCCCAGCAGAAGAAGTTTACAACCAGTGTTACCATAGGACACAATCTCACATCGTTTCGGCACTGGCTCTGCATCTTGTACCCGTCCTTTCTCTCGTGAAGTACCCCCTTGAATGATTGAGTAGTAAATTAATCCGTTAGAAAATTCCGTGTGGTAAGATATCTGCACGCAACGAATCGATGCAATTTGACAATCTCCAAATGAGATTTGGGCTCGGCAAAGTTGGAACAGCTACCTTTTGGGGAATCAACAACGGCTCCTGACTTTGAAGGGGTTTGTGACTCTATCTTTAAGATGGTTATAGCGACATTTCCCGAACATTACTACAGGGGCTGACTCTTTCATGTTCCCTACGACCACGGGGTGGTGGCCGATACAGGGAGGGGTAGGTACGGTCATCGTCAGCAGATACAAGGAACTACGGCACCGTGACTCATCACTACTCTCAAAGCCTGAAGGGGACAGAAACAAGCCCGCCTCAGCACAAACCGGTGCTCCGCCAAGCCCCCTTTCTGCTTTTTTTTTTTCCGACGTTTGTTCCGGGTGACCGTCTCGAGTTTCAAGTTTCGTACGGCGCGAGATCCGAGCCGCTTCAACTTTCAAGCCTGTTTGGCACTGATTGCAGGCCCGTCCCCTGAGGGCCCGCCGGCCCGGAGCCGCGCGGCCCCGGCCGGCCCACGCCCGGCGACGACGTCCGTCACGGCACGATACTATGATACCGGCGGTACGGGTGCCGCGCCGGCCGCCCGCCGGCCCGTGCACCGTGTAAGTTCAACACTCAGTGACTGACACAGTCGCCACGGTTGAGTCGACGGCCGGGCGCCGGGCCGCGAGTCCGACGGCGGCGGGGACGCCGGCCGCCGCGGGCCGCCACCGGACCGGACCGCCGGGCCGGTCGACGCCGGGACTCCGAGTCGGTGACGCCGGGTCCGAGGTCGGGCCATCATGCCGATTCAACGCGCGGCCGGGTGCGCCGGCGGCTGCAGTGCGGGGCGCGGTCCGGGCGGCCCGGCCGGTCCCGCCGCCGAGAGCCTCATTGGACTCCCGGAGGCCGAGGCTCCGGGCGGCCCGGCGGCGCCCGCGACCGGACCGGCGTACACTGATCGGACCGTACACGGTCGCCCAGATCGACCCGCCTGCCGGCTGAGGCTGGCACGTAGGCTACGGTAACTCAGTGAGGCCGCGCTGCGTGACTCCGAGCAGGGGCCGGGCCGGCTACCGTACGGTACCGTGGTCCGTCGGGCCCGGCCGGGCCCGGCCGCCGGACGGACCGGACCGTACCGAGGGTCCGATCCGATGATCAGAACAAACACGGAACCGGTCGCACAAGGCTAGGCAGCCACGAGTCCATGGGCGGTAGGTAGCTACAAGTACAAGGATGTGAGCAAAGAGACGGTGACAGGGTACAGCAAGCATGCGAGGAGGACACCTGTCTCTCCTTTGCTTCTTGTTCTTCTTGCAGATCGAACTGGACCCGAGACGTGCTGAAGGGCTGCCGTCAGTGCTGTTCGACCACCCCCCTCAAGGTTTGGAAGCGCCATGTGCGGAGTCATGACATGATGGGATGACTGCATAGCTCTGTTTGTGCAGATTTTACGTTTGCCCCCCTGGAGGAGAACGAGGAAAGATGAGAGAGAGAGAGAGAGAGAGAGAGAGAGAGAGAGAGAGAGAGAGAGAGAGAAATGACTCGCCTTCATGTGGTAGAGTGACACTTGTTGTAGACCTTGTCCATCGTTCTTGCACTTCGAGGCTTGAAGGATCCCGCATGGAAGGGGTTGAGAAGCTTCCAAGGTATCAAGTCACTGGGGCGTCGCTGAATCTCCGCGCGTGAGAAGGAAGAAACAAGGGGGAGAGTGCGAGGAGGAGCGTACTGGTTCCCTGATGAGATCTCCTGCAGAGCTTCATCATGTTTGGAAGCCATGGCATGTGGTGTTGGAGCTGGATGCCGTGGAGGCAATCTTTGAGTGTTATGAGCCAGGTGTCACAGATGATGGCAGGTGGGTAGATGGCGAGCGACAGAACTCATGAACGCATTCGGTGATAGACTGATCATGATGTGGAATGACGGATTTGTTTGAGAATGGAGTTGATGTTGGCGATATAGCGGAGATGGTGATGGAGATGACGAAGAATAGTATGATGGTGCAAATTCGTTGGCTAGTGTGATTGTTTGCTGTTGCTGCCGATGATGCTGACGACGAGAACGATGGCGACCATTGTTGTGATGACGGGATGCTGTTTCAAGGAGACGTCGGCGCCCACTTGCCCGTCGTCGATCTATCGGATGGCGAGCATGTGGCTTCATGCCGGCTGGTTAACGAAACTATGGAGTTCGACGAACTTGAGCACACTATCAGCTTTTGGGTCCGCCATGACTGTGTGAAGGAGGACGAGGCAAAAATGAAGAAGGGAAAGAGGAAGGGGAAGGAGAACTCAGTCGTACGCGACGGGGAAGCTGGTATCAATGCCAGTAGTAGATTGAAGAATAGCAAGAAGTATCAAGATGAAAATGGAGAATCTGTGGAGGAGGAGGAGGAGGAGGGGGAGGAGGGGGAGGAGGGGGAGGAGGAGACCGTTCGATTTCAAACCATCATGACGGATGAATGCGAGGATGGAGATGTCTGTGAGGGTGAGCGAGATTGCAACGGGCATGGGAAGTGTGTGCGAGGAGTCTGTTTGTGCGAGGGCAACTGGGCAGGAGAGGCGTGCGATCATTCGATCCTCTCAAACTCCTCCTTCCTCCCCGATCGTGATCCCAACCTGTCTCCTTCCCGATGCATCAAGGTCTGTGCTGCCTCCCTCGATGCCTCTGCTCCTCCGCATCCGACCCTTGTCTCTTTCTCTCTGCTCACTTGTGTAAATCCTTGAATTTCTTTTCACCGGACTGAAAGGCGATCGCATGGGAGGAAGGAGTTGATACCCTACAACAAAGGTGCAACGCTGAGCAGAGAGGAAGAAGCGAGTTATTGGAGCGGGGGGGGGGAGCGGGGGATGGGGGTAAGGGAGGAACACGAAGGGGGGGGAAGGGGACCGGGGGAAGGCGGAGGCAATTTCTTACGGCAGGGACTAGGATGGCTCGTTTGACTAGCAAGTGCGACAAGGTGGACAGCAGCTTGGACGAGATCAAAGGTGATGGGAGGCGAGAAAGGAGATGAGGGTGGCAGGCAGGAGTGAAGGAAGATGTAGTGATGGTGAGGGAAGATGTAGTGATGGTGAAGGAGGATGTAGTGATGGTGAAGGAAGATGTAGTGATGGTGAGGGAAGATGTAGTGATGGTGAAGGAAGATGTAGTGATGGTGAAGGAAGATGTAGTGATGGTGAGGGAAGATGTAGTGATGGTGAGGGAAGATGTAGTGATGGTGAGGGTGTCGGAGCAGAGGGAGAGAAGTAGAAGGGAGGGGGATTGAGTTAATGTGGGCACACAGATGGTCTATTTCTCTTTGGACCTCCACTTCATGGCTTCGGCTTCAACATTCACTACGTTTCGCACATGTTGGCGATCGCTATGGAAAGCAATCAGGTGAAGTTCGATCGTTGAACAGAAACTTCGATTCTAAGTTTAACTCCAGACGCCTGTCATGATAGAGAATGCAGCTTTGGGAAGATGGTTGTATGGTGACGTTCCGCAATGTTGTACAAGAGTTGTGTGATTTGGTTCTCTCATGAGCAACTCAGGCGAAGAGAAAGGATGGAAATGCTTGCTCAAACCCATAAGCTCTTGCGATCGCTTTGCCCCTGTGATGCGGTACGTTTCTAGGAGATGTTGGTCGCGATGAAGAGTTGACTATCGATAGATGTAATCTTTATTTGATGGTGATTTATTTTGGATGTGATGATGCTGATGCATGTATCCTTCAAACAACGGTTGAGTTTTTCTTCATGCGAGATGTTGTCTTCTTGCACTCTCGGTCATCGCCAGAGTTGCATCTTGGTGCAAGCTGATCTTACAGTGTTTTACTGCAGCAAGTCATCGCGCCTCCTATTGACCTTCTTGTCAGTGTTGGTTTCCCAGTGCATTCCCGAGCAGATGGCATCCCCGACAAGTCGCTAGATGCGCCCTTGGTATCAATCAATCTCCTGCTCCTGCTCCTCCTGCTCCTCCTGCTCCTCCTGCTCCTCCTCCTCCTCCTCCCGCTTCTCCCGCTCCTCCTGCTTCTGTCCCTGCTCCTGCTTTCCTAATTACTCGTACTCCACTTGCTCATTCTATTCTTCCTGCTCCTCTGTCTTGTCTTGTTGCTGCTACATTCCTTCCTTCCTGCCTTCCTTTTTCTCGCTTCTCTTGACCTTCTTTCGTTCGCTTTCAACTCTTCATCTTCCTCCCTATTCTTCCTGCTCTCGCTCTCTGCTGCTCTTGCTCACACGCCTGCCCCCTTCGTCTCTTCACTGCAAGGCAGGAGTTTCAAGGAGAGTTCTCGAGTCTGCTTCCTCACGGCAAGTTGTGGTGGAGATCGCATCTAGTTCAGCAGCTCCTCCAGCCAAGGTCCTGCTAACGCCATGGAATATCTCTGCCGGTCTGAAGAGTTTTTTTGCAGCTCCTTCCTACAACTTCTGCTCAGGAGAATCAAGAACAGTCTCGGTGAGCAACGCAACTTCATCTCTCCTTCTCCTCTTTGCCCTTGTTCTGTTCGATGCGCCTTGTCCTGCTTTTTTCCTGCTCTTCCTTCTTCTGCTTCTTCTGTTTCTACTCCTCCTTCTCCTGCTCCTTCTTCAGCTCTTGCTTCTCCTGCTTTTCCTCCTTGTTTTGTTCCCCCAGTACCTCATGCGCGCATCGTCATCATCATCATCATCAGCTGCTGCTGCTGCTGCTGCTTCTGCTGCTGCTGCTTCTGCTGTTACAGACTCAGCGCCCTCCTCCTCCTCCTCCTCGTCCTCCTCCTCCTCCTCCTCCTCGTGCTCGTCCTCCTCCTCTCTCCACCTATTCGTCCGCCTCCTATTCGTCCGCCTCCGTTTTTACCTTCCTTCAACTACCTCCTCAGTGTCTTGGCAGGGATCGTAGAGCCCTACATCTCCGTTCATGTCAGGATGGGCGACTCTTGCACCCACACTGCGAGGTTCGCCAACGTCGAGAACCCGCCGGTGAAGGAAGGATGCGTCTCTGTAGACCGCTACCTTCTCGCTGCCCGCCAGCTCTCCTCCCGCTATGGCCTCAGACGGGTGCTGCATGCTCGTCGATCGCAGTTGTGAATGATCTGCGGCACAAGGTGTACCTGGCGACCGACAGCGAGGAGGCTACAGCAAGGTTTCGAGAGACAGACTTGGAGGTGAGAGGAGAATTCGGAGAGGGAGGGAGAGGAGGGGAAGGACGAGGAGCACAGAGAGGAGAGCGAGGATAGTGCGGATGTGGGATGTGGGAAAGGCGGCGGTGGAAGGAGGCGGAGGCTAAGGAGTTTAATCGTGAGAACAGGTTTACAGCTTGAATATCGACAGGCACAGACTGTTCAACAGGTGGGCATAAGTGGTTTCAATCAGGAAATCGAAGGACATGGAAAGATGGGGAGGGAGGGAGGGAGGGAGGGAGGGAGGGAGGGAGAGAGGAGGGAGGAGGAGGGAGGAGGGAGAGAGGAAGTGAGTGAGTGAGTGAGGGAGGGAGGGAGGGAGGG